GGCCGCCCCGCTGCCTTGCAGGTACGGCAGCGTGGGCAGCATGGAGCCCACGCGGGTCGTGGGCACGTACACGGGCGAGCTGGGCGTGGAGTGCATGAAGCCTCCCGGAGATCCGTCGTAAGGCGTGGGGCCCTGGGTGGCCGAGATGGCGAGGGTCTGGTACATCTCCTCGGGTTGCTCGGCGCCGAGGGCGCTCAGCTTGGGGCCGCGGCTGGACCAGATCAGCTTGTTGGTTTGGTCTAAGTCCGCGAAGAGCAGAATGTCCTCCCAGCTGAGCCGGCCGGAGGGGTGGGGGGCCCCGAAGTGCACGTAGGGGGCGAGTAGAGACCTGCCTTCGGCGGCGGGGGGCGGCAGCGGGGCCGGCCGGTGACTGTCGTCGGTCTCCGGCCGAGGAGTCTTGGAAGAGCCGCGTTCACCCTGGGAGCCGGAGGAAGACGAGGAGGAGGGGGGCGAAGGAGGAGACGGGCGCGGCTCCCTGGTGGCGAAGGGGCAGGAGGGAACACCGGCGTCCGCAGCGCACCGCTTCACCGCGCACCAGCCGCCTTCAGCCACGGCCATCCAGGTCCCCTTCTAGCCGCTGGGTGTGGATGGGGAAAGGGGAGGAGGGGAGGAGGAGGAGTGGAGATGGGGGTCCGCAGGGCAGGGCGGGGAAGGAGGACACAGAATAGCAGGGAAGGGGGGGAGAGAGAAACAATAATAACAAAGTTTGCAAACAGGACAGCCCGTCTCCCTCCCGTAATGAGATTCATCAGGGCTTATCTGGACCCTCTGAACGCTTAATCAGTCATGTCGCCTCGGCGCTGTTGTCCCTCCCCCCGGAGGTATGGGATCAGGCAGACCAGATCAACGCGGGTCGGGAGTCGCCAGTCCCGCAGGGCCAGGGCTGCGGCTTCGACGCCGCTCCCCGCGCTGCGGGCGGGCTGCTCCCTTCTCCTTTCGCATCCCGGGCTGCGGATTTGAACATGAAGCACGCCGGGGAGAGGTGGGCGGGAGGGCGTGGGGAGAGAGGGGGGCGAGGGACATTTTTCCCTGTCTGTGCCGCAGCCCCTTCCTTGGCTGCTGTCGTTGTTATGATTATTTCAATGAATGAGTCATTTGACTCGGTTCCACCGAGAAAACAATTAGTAAGGCGATCCCTTTAAGGTTACTTCTCCGGAGGGCAATGTTAGCTTTTCCGCGCATCGCCTCGCTTGTTTGCTTATTTCCAGCCCAAGGTCACGGAAAGGAGGAGAAGGAGGAGGGAAAGGCACCCCTGAGACGGGAGATGCGCACGGCCAGGCGCCGAAGTGTGCGCGGCGGCGGCGGGACACGGACCGGAGCAGGGGCCGGGCCGGGTGGGATGTGCCTGCCGCGGAGGCTGGTGCCAGCGGACAGTCCTGGCTGAGGGCCTGCCTCCAGTCCGAGCACAACTCTCGAGGCTGACACCCGTCCCGAGTCGACCGGTCTCAGTTCGGAGCCGCCGGCATGAGAGAGGCTGAACAAACAGACGGACACAGAGCGTCCAGTGCCCAGCCTAAGGGAGAAGGGGCAGAAAGTGAAAGGGGACGCGGAGAAGTGACAGCAAGAGAAGCGGGCGGTGAGGGTCTCCGCTCTCAGCCCACCTCGGGGCTCTTCAGATAGCCATAGGCACAAGAATACAGGACACACACAGAGCCCCCTCGCAGACAGGCACCAAATACGTCTCTCCCTCCTGCGAGGTA